CCCAGCACTGATGCTCATGTGAAGGCAATGAAAATGCTGATATCTTTCATCATCCTCTTTATCTTGCATTTTATAGGCTATGCCATAGAAATGACATCTTCGGTGGTGGAAAACAAAGTGATGATAATTTTTGGAATGACAACCTCAGCCATCTATCTCTGGGCTCACTCATTTATCCTAATTCTAGGAAACAGCAAACTAAAGCAGGCCTCTTCGGAGGCAGTGCATCAACTAAAGTGTTGTAAGAGAAGGGAAAATCTCAGAGCCACTTAGAAAAGTTGGAAGAGAAATGGATGTTCTAGGCGAATAATCCAGTGAAGATATTTTTGATGATCTGTTTCATTTGCACCATATTCTCATGTGCGTTTTAACTGTGTTATTAAACATCATCAAAATCGTTCACTATTGTTTTGACTACATTTTAAGGCATCTCACTCCTTGATGAGATTTTAATCTTACTTACTATTGCAGTGTTTTGAGCAGATTTCCTGCCTCACAACTTCCTCCCAGACAGCTCCCCAAGAAGAAAAAACATCTACTTGGAGATTATTCACTGTACAGATTATGACACTGCCAATAAACATCTAAAATATGTTATTTCATTTGGTTTTTCCTGACATCCTTGAAGGATCAACATCCATTCTTTAAGAAGACCCAAGGGAGCAGAATTAACGCAAAGAAAGTTGTGGTCAATCTTCCCACGAGAACATGAAATTGAGGAACAAATTGACATTTCTTGTCAATGTGCTATTTTAATTCTTTAAATGAATGATTTGATATTTACTGTCTAAAATCTAATATCCTTTTTTCCTGGTGTGTCTTAGAAATAGCAGTAATCATAGTAGTCGATGGAGTTCTGTGAAAAACAGCTAGAGAAACAGTCCACTCACAGGAGATAGGATCAGAGCACTGATGCCATAAATCTTTATGAACTTTGAATGCAGTGATTTCAGATGAAGCAAAGTTATGACCCAATTAGTGTTGAGTAGAGATTTCACTAGAAGTACAATTGCAAAGGACTTAACATCATCTCTGATCAAGGATCAAAAGTTGAACTAGCGATAAAAGTTGTGCACAGTATGAGATGTTCTGTTCCAGAGTTTCATACACACACACACACACACACACACACACACACACACATTCATAGACACAGACTTGTATTCACAGAAATACTTCAAATGCCGAATTTTAAAGTGAAATTTGATGTCAAATCCAGGATATGAATGGAGTGACATTTGGCAACTCACATAAATGCCTTATTCTCATTCTTATGGCTTGATGTCTAGAATATTTTTCAATCTAAGACTTAATACATTTTTGATGGGAGAGTTCCAAATCAAGTTTATATTTTGAAACAAAACATACTTGTAACATACATATAACTAAGATGCTTAGTTTCTCCCATAATAATGGGGAAGAAAAAGATGTCACTACCCAGTTTTAACCCTCTTTACAAGAGTGGTTTATTTCAAATTGAATCATAAACAACAATGCCCTCTGTATAGATTACATTAGATTTTACTTCTTTTTCTATGATTGGAAAAACTGTTTATATGTCTATTGTTTGTAGCTTCATTTTTGAAGATGCATTTTAGCTTATGTTACAGACATAATAATATACTTAATGTTTATCATATTGTTAATATTTCTGCTGTCTTCATTTTTCCACTTATAGAAACAAGCAAATATAAGTATGGTAGAGCATGAATACTATTCAATTCATTTAAGAAATATTTTTTCTATGCTAACTCTGCTACATGTTGAGGATATGGTACTGTACAATGAGCCATGGAATGGATAATATATTCTACTAGAAAAGCAAATAAAAAGCAAAGCATTACCCAAACAACTCTATGTGTTGTATTGGGAGAAAAACTAATGGGTGCTCACCAGTGTTTTGACTTGGTCCTGGGAGTAGAGAAGGTGTCACGGAGGTGAAGATGGCTTAGTGTGAAATCTGAACTCTGCACAGGAGTAAGGTGGCAAAGCAGCGGGGATTCAGGTGGGAAAGGTGCATGTGCAGACCCTGAGGCAAGAAGGGGTCCAAGGCATGGCAGCAACTGAAGACCTAGTATAACTAATACATAGAGAGAACTGCATTTCAATTGTCTTATAAGTGAAACGCCACTAAGGAGGAATTTGATCAATTTTTTTGCAGAATTGATGTCTTTTTTAGAGGAATAGTAAGCCAACACTTTAATAGTAAAAAAATAGCCAATGGTCTGTTCAGAAAATCAAGCAAGGTTCCTATATTTAATGTTGCTACTTTAATTGCAAAAATATCTTGAGTGTGTGAGTAAGTTTTAGAGGATTTTTAACCAATATAATTTACTTTTTGAAAATTGTTAATTTCTTTTTAACTTATCTTGTGATTGTTGATTGCTTCTCTTGCAGCCTTTGTGAATATTTTATATATTGGCACTCTCCCATGTGTTCATTCTGATTTTTTCCCCTAGTTTGATCATTAATTAAAAACTTAGTTTGTGATATTGGTTTGTAGTGTCTATGAACTTTAATCAATGTGTTTTTTCTTTATCTTTTATCCTACTGCAATTTTTGCCAGTATGAACTTGGGTTTATTGATACCTATTCCATTAGCAATAGCTAAATTTTTATAGATTCATTGCACATGAAATGAGAAAACACAGAAACATATGAAAGAGAAATTGATTATGAACATTTATACTCATACTATACTTAACTAATAATTGTTAATATATTTCTACATTGATTTTAAGATAGATAAATAATAGGTATGTTCCTTAGATGTCTATTTGGATTAGATTTATGCATAAATTAATAAATTGGTAATCCGTAGGTAGCACATTTAGAGATACTTTTATTTCCTTTTAGTCTTCTGAAAAAATTATGTAATAAAAGGTATAAAATTAAATAAAATACAAGGTATGTGAGAAAAATCTTTCTGGAAAAAAAAAGAGAAAAATCTTTCTGGCTAACATTCCTTGAGCAACCAGGGAAAGAATCTTCCCCAGAATTTGCATGAACTGTGGAAGTACTAACTCAGGTCTGCTGCCTCTATAGTACAGGACACCAATGTAATGTATAATATATTTTAATAGAAATGATTATTTACTTTGTTGTTTGTAATAATTTTGATTATGTTGGCTCAGGTCTCATGTATTTGTGATTCTACATTGGACTCTGTTTCATCCGAACATTATCTAGTGGAGTTCTTTGGGGATAGGTTTACAGTGTACTCTGCCTGAAAGGATTTGACTTTGCTTGCAAAGGCTCATTGGGGTTACTACCAGTCTTGAATTTCACTAAGCTAAAATTTTTCATTTGTAAATTCTTAGGCTATACAGAATATAAACTCTGGTCACACACACACACACACACACACATATATGCAATGCTATTATTAGAAGTTCTCAGAATGACAGAATGTTATTTTCCTGTTTCATTCAGTGTTATAGTCAGTGGGTAAGTACTTCTACTCATAATATTCTGCTGAAAATGTATTATTTTCTTAGTCCCCATTAAAGTATTGCCTTTCAGGATCTGGGTTTATTGATAATAGTAAATTTACTTTCAATTTTGTAGAGCGCCCAGGTATATATCTCAACCTACATCCACATGGTTCCTTATAGACTGGTTTACAAATGGTAAAGACACACAACAGAATATTATTCATCCATAAACATTTCAAAATGGAATGAAATCTTGTGATTTGCACCAATGTGGCTGGAACTGGAGGACATTATGTTAAGTGAAATGAGCCAAGAACAACAGTTAAACACCATATCCTCTCACTCATATACAGAAGCTAAAAAGAATTGGTCTCATAGTAGTATAGAACAGAGAATAGTATAGAATAGTAATAGAACAGAGAATGCTATTCTACATATACTATTAGATAGAGCACAGTGATGGCAGAAATTTCTTAAATGGTACAAAATTGCAGCTAGACAAAAGATGTAAATTCTACTGTTTTATACTAGTGCAGAGTGACTACACTACCAATAATATACTATATAGTTTCAATAACTGGTACGAGAACACTGAATGTTCCCAACATAAACAAAAGATAAAAGTTGGAGACCATGAATATGCTAATGACCATGATTTGATTATAAGTATTATATCTATGGAAATATCACTATGTACCCATAAATATGTACAATTACTATGAGTCAAATAAAGAGAAACAGCCCTTTGCTTGGCAAAAGTGATGCCATTTTGAAGCAAAATCACCATAATAACAAATGTTTGACCCTGCACACCAGGGTGATCTGCAGCAGGGTCTAACATCATGTCTGTAACATGGTTAACAGCCCCCCAAAAGTGCATCTCTACCCTCTCCAGTGGTCATGGATTTCAGCAAGAAAGTCAAAGACGTGACCAGCTGTTCACATCTTCATCCTAAAGGCTTGCTATATAAAGGATAATTTTTGAAACACAGCAGCCAGGAATGTTGCTTCTGTTCACATGTTCCTACTAAATATTTCCTTCAGAAAAACTGGATTTGTCAGGCTCTTTCTTTGATCTCTCAGCTCCCTCAGCCTTTGGTGGTAGATTTTTATGTAGCTACTCATTGTAGAACATTTGATGAGCCATTAGGAGCCAAGAAACCAAGGATTGGGTTAAGAGAATGAAACGTGGGAAAAATCACAGATGGCTAGGAATGCCCACATGTTTGTGGGGATGGAGGTGGCACGTCTGTCAGATATGTGTGGATAGTCACTGCAAGAATGCCCCCCAAATTCCTATAGGCCTAGAACTGTTATCAAAGGACTGCTGTAGAGGGTGCTGTGGTGAGAAAGGGTCACAGATAGTCACAGCAGTGGTTGGCTTCCTCCCTGGGCCCTTCACTTGGCAACAAAGGTCCAACTAGAAACAGAAGCAAAAGCTGAACAGCCAGAGGAGGAATTGCAACTAGAAAAGGACATGTGCCTTTCTGCTCTTCTCCTGATATCTAACTTTGTGGACAAAATTTCAGACAAGAGACCAAAACTGAAACATTATCATGGAGATTTGTCTGCCTGTGAGAAAAGAAATGGAAACAATCAAAAATCAGATTTATCATAACTAGACAACTATAGATGTCTAGACCCAATATCCACATGGATGTCATGGATAGAAAGACTCTAAAGACCTAGAGGGCATAGAGCAGGATGGGAAATGGGGGCACTGACAAACTCACCCCTCAAGCAAAAGAAAGGGAAACCATAACAGCTGCAGCAAATGGGGTCAAGTGATCCAGGAGACTCACTATCAGGGAATATTTGCAGGTGAATCTTAGAGAATGC